TGAAAACTGGGCTATGTTAGTCCCCAGAATTCAGACTGCACTTTCGCATGTTGGTGATTGCTGCAGATAATACAAACGTTATGTTTTACTACTAAATTGAGAGTTGCGGAAGGAACGTGCAACACACACCGATCTTTAACAAGAAAATGGATTTTTATCCCTTGCCGTACCATTTTAGGCACTCGACATTGATGGTAGCTATTAGAAGGGATTAACAGATTTGAATAATTCAGTTGACCCAATTGTGAAAAATTTGCAGCTTCGGTGGGAGTCGAACCAACAATTAGGTCAACTGAATTATTTGAATCTACCAAATCATCCCACCCCCTCTAATAGTTTAGTGAGTTTAGTAGTCATTCTAGTGGATTCTAGATGATTGCTTGGGAAATCCGTCTTGGGTAGTCAGATTACTGGATCCGTAGTGCTAGATTCCATACAAGCAGTAAGTTCGGTGTTAGTAAATCCATGGTATTGCGTTGGCTGCGCAAAAGCCTTCCCTACTGTGTGGGTTCGATTCCCGCCGATGCCGCGAATTTTTTACAATTGGGTCAACCGAATATATGGTAGTTCCATTCATTTAAATATTACCACAAATTACTAACTAGCGGCTAAATGTTAAATGAGAAATTTCCATTTGAAGTCTTTGATAAAGCCATCAGAATTGGCACGGTTCATAACTAAGTTTCAATGCTAGGGAACATATCTCATAGAATAAAAATATCTTTTTCGCAGAAGGCCTTAAAATTCCCTTATCTGTGACAAATTTACAAGGTTATGTTTGAATAAATTACTAAAAAAACTTCCTTTGAAAGTTCCAAATAAAAAGAGTGTGTTTTGTTCCACATTAGACAGAAGCACAATTTTATCATTTGTCTAGGTCCGTTTGGTTTATATACCCTTTCATTCGTTGCAGTCTACGTAAAGAAACTCCAAAGTTGTATGATTTTTCTATGAACATCTATACTAACTATAGGTGTGCAAAAATATGCGTCGCTGTAAATGAAGTGCAAATGCATTATTTAATAGGCTTTGGATTAGAAAATGCAATGTAAGCGCAGGCATTCCCCT